CGGACCCTAGCGGGCGGGTCGGGTCGGGCGGGCGGACCCTAACGGGCAGGTCGGGTCGGGCGGGCGGACCCTAGTGGGCGGGGCGGGTCTGGCGGGCGGACCCAAGCGGGCGGGTCGGGTCGGGCGGGCGGGACATTGAAATGTGGGGCGCTCGACCGAGCACGCGCGAACCCTGACGGGCGGGTCTGGTCGGGCGGGCGGAATTTGGCGGGCGGGTCGGGTCGGGCGGGCGGACCCTAACGGCCGGGTCGGGTCGGGCGGGCGGGACATTAAAGTGTGGGGCGCGCTCGGCCGAGCACGCACGAACCTACCAGGCGGGTCGGGTCGGGCGAACGGACCCTAGCGGGCAGGTCGGATCGGGCAGCTTCGCCGACGGCAGCTGGTTTCGCCCACGGCAGCTGGTTTCGCCGACGGCAGCTGGTTTCGCCCCGTGCGGCGAAGCCAGCCGGGCGAAATTGGCCGTCGGCGAAACCAGCGGTTGCCGAGGGAGGAGGGAGGAGGGAGGCAGCCACGTCTTTCTCCTGGAGAGCCATGGCTGGGCCGCCCCTCGGAGCATGGTTGGGAATACTGCGGCTTCCCAGAGTGTGAGACATCTCCTCCTTTTTCCGCCTCCGCACTCCCGCCCCTGTTGCCGATTGCTCTGGGAGATTCCCCGCTGACGGTTTCCAGGAGCATGCTTGTGAAGTTAGCGCAGCGTCGTCGGAGGTGGGGCTCGAGGGAGCCTCTTGAGGCCACTTGGGGACTCTCGGTGGTGACTAGGGGTGATTATTTGAGCCTCCCCAGCACCTGCAGCATCTATGGGGCCTGGTTGGGGTCTTGAGCCACCATCTTTTGGGCAAGGGGAGGGTGGATTTCCGAGTGGATGTAAACTAGAGCTCTTTTTTTGTTTCTTGGGTCGATCTGGCGATTTGGTGATCCAGCCAGGTGATCCGATGGTCCGGTGATTTGGACGCTTGATCCAGTGATCCACTGTTTCGATGATCTGGCCAGGTGATCTAATGATCTGGTGATCCCGCCGCCCGATGTAGTATTTTGATGATCTTCCCCAGTGATCCGATTATCTTGTGACTCGGCCGCTTGGTGATCCGATGGTCTGCCCACCGTCTGATCTGGCGATCCCGTGGTCCGGTGATCTGGCCGCCTGATCCGATGATCCAGCGGCCTGGCCAAGTGATCCAGTAATCCTGTGATTTGGCCGCCTGATCTGGTAATTTGGCCAAGTGATCCTGTGATATGGCCGCCTGGTGGCCAGGTGATCCGTTGATCCGGCAGCCTGGTCTGGTCATCTGGCCAGGTGATTTGGTGATCTGGCCGCTTGGTCTGGTGATCTGGTGATCCAGCCAACTGATCCGGTGACCTGTTGTTCTGGCTGCCTGGCTTGGTGATCCTGCGATAACCAAGTGATCTGGTGTTCCAGTGATCCGGCCACCTGATCTGGTGATCAAGTGATCCTTGGTCCCGTGATCCGGCCGCCTGATCCGATGACCAGGTGATTTGGTTCATTGGATCACTGATCTGGTGATCCTGTGAATGTTGCTGCGCGGCCTGGTCGTCCTCTTTCTGCGCTTGCGCTCCTCCTACTCCCTCCTCCCTCCTCACCTTTCTCCCTTCCTCCTTTCCCCCCGCCCGCTCCTCTCCCCTCGATTCTTCCTCTCACGTCTTTCTCCCCCTCTCCTCTCTCCTCCCGTCTCCTCTCCATCCGCCTCCTCCCCCTCACCCCTCCCCTCTCACCTCCACCATTAACCCCAGGCCATCCGGCCAAGCCCCCCACTGCGCCTGTCGAGAAGGAGAAGGAAAATAGGAGGATGACGAATCATAATAATAGTAATAATAATAATGATGATAATAATAATAATATTATTAATAATAATATTAATAATAATAATTCATACGGATAACAACAATAACGAGAATAATCACAGTATTATCGGGGAAGCGTAAGACCCGGGTTTGCCAGGACTCGGGTTCGCCATTTTTTTTTGACGACCGCGACTCGGATTTTGACGAGGAGGAGTTTCGTGGGATGTCTGCAGCGGGAGGCCTCGTCAAAATGCAGGCTCGGCCTCGTCATTTTTTTGACGACCTCGTCGGGGATTTCCGAGTCCCCCGTACCCGGGTCTTACGTCTCCCCGATATTATTAATATTGGGACGAATCTCAATAATATGATTGTTACTAGCTAAGTGCCATTGTTAATAGTAGTAGTAGTAGTAGTAGTAGTAGCAATAGTAGTAGTAGTAGTAGTCGTAGTAGTAGTAGTAGTAGTAGTAGTAGTAGTAGTAGTCGTAGTAGTAGTAGTAGTAGTAGTAGTCGTCGTAGTAGTAGTCGTAGTCGTAGTAGTAGTGTTGGTAGTAGTAGTAGTAGTAGTAGTAGTAGTTGTACTAGTAGTAGTAGTAGTAGTAGTAGCAGCAGTAGTAGTAGTAGTAGTAGTAGTAGTAGTAGTAGTCGTAGTATTAGTAGTAGTAGTAGTAGTAGTAGTAGTAGTCGTAGTAGTAGTAGTAGTAGTAGTAGTAGTAGTAGTAGTAGTAGTAGTAGTAGTAGTAGTAGTAGTAGTAGTAGTCGTAGTTGTAGTTGTAGTAGTAGTAGTAGTAGTAGTAGTAGTAGTAGTAGTAGTAGTAGTAGTATATTAGTATAGTAGTATAGTAGTAGTAGTAGTAGTAGTAGTTGCGATGTATTGGTAGTAGTCGTTAGGTCGTAGTCGTTGTTCGTAGTCGTAGTCGTAGTGTAGTCGTGTGTAGTAGTAGTAGTTGTAGTAGTAGTGTAGTCGTAGTGTAGTAGTAGTCGTAGTGTTACCAACAATAATGTTGTGAGTCGTAGGTCGTATTCGTAGTCGTAGTCGTAGGTGAGTGTAGTGTGTCGTAGTCGTCGTAGTGTATAGTAGTAGTAGTTAGTATTGTAGTAGTAGTGTTGTGTAGTAGTAGTTAGTAGTAGTAGTTGTAGTTGTAGTAGTAGTAGGCAGTAGTAGTAGTAGTAGTAGTAGTAGTAGTAGTAGTAGTAGTAGTAGTAGTAGTAGTAGTAGTAGTAGTAGTAGTAGTCGTAGTCGTAGTCGTAGTCGTAGTCGTAGTCGTAGTCGTAGTCGTAGTCGTAGTCGTAGTCGTAGTCGTAGTCGTAGTCGTAGTCGCAGTCGTAGTCGCAGTCGTAGTAGTAGTAGTAGTAGTAGTAGTAGTAGCAGTAGTAGTAGTAGTAGTAGTAGTAGTCGTAGTCGTAGTCGTAGTTGTTGTTGTTGCTGTAGTAATAATAATACGAATGATGATAATAACCATCTAATGCAATGGAGAAGGCAATGGAGGAGGACGAGGAGGAATATAATAGTGAGTAGCCAACATAGTGTGAGAAGAGAGGGGGCAAATGATAAAGCGGTATGGGGATGTTGTACCGGCTATACCCGGGATGCGCAACAGAAGACGAAGAGGATGAATGATCAAATAAAAGAATTAAGGAGCCGAACCGTGATAAGGATGAAGGGGAAGGAGAAGGAGGAGTGATGGGAGCGCGGCGACGCACTCGCCCCCCCGGCACCACCGTACGCTTTGCACGACTCTGGCTATTGCAACCAGAAGCCCCTCTTTTCGAATCGCTGGATTGGATCTCTGCTCTCTGGACTGCGCTGGGGTCGGTTCCTCCTCCCCTTCCGGTCCTCCTCGTCGGCCCCCACCGCCGATGAGACGCCCGCACCTGGATCGGGGAAAGCGAGCCGCGGCGGGGAAGAAGCAGCGCATGGTGCACGAGGTTCGCGATGATTCGGGGAGCGGTCGAGGACAATCTGTGGAGGATTGATGGTTCAGGATGCGGTGGGACAGGAGATTCAGGATGCAGGATTTTCTAGGCTTGTGGAAGACGATCCATGGAGAGGAGGCAGGTTGCCAAATAATTTCCAGATGTCTAAAGCATTTTTCAACATGTTTTCAACATGCAAAGCACACGTTTGAAACATGCGCTTTTACAGTTAAACACATTTAGCGCGCATTCTAAATCCAATCATAGGGCTGTCAGAGTGCCCCTTGTCATGGCATCCATAATTCTAGACGCTTCGCGTAACCCCACCTTCGTATTCTGACGCCGCGACCTGTTCCGCCGTCAGATTCTTCCGCTGGACGTGGTCTCCAGTCCGTCTGTGTTACTTTCCAGACTTTGGATCGACGTCCTCGGGATCGTTCCTACCTGTTCGTACTTGAACAGCTGGGAACGCTTCGCGCCATTTTGGCTGCGCTCGGTTTCCTCGGTGTCTGCCTTCAGACTCCCTGGATGTACCTTTGCACGTCCTTTCAGGGGCTGTTCTGCAGACTCTCTGGATTGCATGCTGGACTTCCTCGGTGTTCGTCAGGCTCCCTGGATGCCCCTTTGCACGCCCGTTCAGGGGCTGCTCCGCGGACTCCCTGGACTGCACGCTGGCTCTGACGCCCTAGGACGCTGCTGCTTGCCGCTTGACCGCGGCCTCGCGCGCGCCCGCCGCTAGTCGCGGCCGCAGCCCGCCCGCGACCGTCCGCCGCTGGCGCTTCCGCCTGCGGCTGTAAAAAAAAGTAACCCCACCTTTATTGGCACATGCTCAGCTGCTTCTTCTTGGCCGGCACTTGTGCTGCGCCGTTAATTATTTGCCTTCCCGTGCGCTGTGTCCCAGCCTCGTTCACACCGCCCTCTGGACTTTTCCTTGCGGGCCGCGAATCAAAAAAGTACCCCCACCAGTATCTGGCGTGTCACCCCATGCTCGATACTATCCGCTCTCTGGAATCGTCCTCGGAGCCGCAGATCAAAAAGTAACCCCACCAGCGGTCATATCCTGGTACGACCATCGCGCCATTTTGGCTGCGTCCCAACCCTGGTTGGCTAATCTTGCATGTGCGCGCCCCTGGACCTGGTCCCTGGCAGCTGCAACCTGCACCCCCCCTCGCGCCGGCCCGCCCGCCGCGGCGCTGTTGAGGTCGCCGGCCCGTCGGCGGTAGGCAATTCGGCTCTTGCGCGGCCCGCTCGGACCTGACTCGCCGCTGGCGCCCTCGCCTGCGGCTGCGACAAACAAAAGTAGCCCCACCAGCCCGTCCAGAGCCGACGCCCCGGCGAGGTGCCCCTGGTCAGGCACGCGGGGGAGCACGCAGTGGAACAGAGGCTGGGAAGCCGTCGTACCTTAAGGGGGGGAGGATGGAGGATGAGCCAGAGGAGGAGGAGGAGGAGGAGGAGGAGGAGGACGAGGACGAGGACGAGGACGAGGACGAGGACGAGGACGAGGACGAGGACGAGGACGAGGACGAGGACGAGGACGAGGACGAACCGCACCCACTTGCGCGGCGGGCCTGGACGAGGACGAGGACGAGGACGAGGACGAGGACGAGGACGAGGAGGACGACGAGGAGGACGACGAGGAGGACGACGAGGAGGACGAGGAGGACGAGGAGGACTAGGAGGACGAGGAGGACGAGGAGGACGAGGAGGACGAGGAGGACGAGGAGGAGGAGGAGGAGGAGGAGGAGGAGGAGGAGGAGGAGGAGGAGGTGGAGGAGGAGGAGGAGGAATTGGAGGAGGAGGAGGAGGTGAGGAGGAGGAGGCGGAGGAGGCGGAGGAGGAGGAGGGAGGAGGAGGAGGAAGGAGGGATGAGGGAGGAGGAAGGAGGGAGGAGGGAGAAGGACTAGGCGGATGAGGGAGAGGAAGAGGAGGAAGAGGGCGAACAGAAAGGCCAGAGGCCTCTTGGATGCTTCTCGGAGATTCTTCGGATGTTCATGGAGAGCTTCTTGCAGGCCTGTTGGGACATCTTGGGGGCCTCTTGGCGGCCCCGGGCGCCTCTTGAAGCGTCTTGGGTGCCTCGGGGTTGGGGCCATCTCGGGGGTCTGTTGGGCGTCTCTTGGGGGCATATTGGGGGGTTCCTTGAGGTTTCCTGGGGCCCTCTCGGGGCACTCTTGGGAGCCTCGGGGGCCATCTTGGGGCTATCTCGGAGGTGATCGATCAAAGAAGGGAGGGTACCCACTTAGCGCCCCCACATTGGCCCAAAACCCAAAAACAGCTTGGGGGGCCTCGGGGAGCCTCTTGGGGCCATCTTGGGGGTCTCTCGGGAGCCTCTTGGACGCTTCTTGGACGCCTCCTGGGGCCTCCTGGGCGCCTGCTGGGCCATCTTAAGGCGTTTTTGGGAGGCTCGGGAGCGCTCTTGGGGCCATCTTGGAGGAGGTTGATCAAAAACGATGGGAGCTCTAATTTCGTTCCCCCCTCCGGAGCCCCAACAATCGCCTTTCGGGCCCCTCTTGGGGCGCTCTCGGAGCGCTCTTGGGCGCTCTTGGGGCCGTCTTGGGGCTCTCTTGGGCCTCTCTTGGGGCCCTCACGGGCCCTCTTGGAGCTGTCTTGAGGCCTCGGAAGGCCATCGGAAGCGAAAAGGCGAGAAGGCGAAACTCATTGATTTCCTTTGGTTTTTGAAGGATGTTGGCCTCTTGGCGGCCTCCTGGGGAGGCTCCGTGGCCACTCGGAGCCGTCTTGGAGCGGTCTTAGGGCCTCTTGGAGCATCTTGGGAGCCATCTTGGAAGGCATCTTGGGCTCTCTGAGACCCTCCTAGAGCCATCTTGGGCCTTGGCCATCTTGGACGCTCCAACGACCCGCGACCCCACCCCTCCAGGTCCAGGGGAGGGGATAAGGGGGAGGGGTCAACTCCTCCCCGAAGGGGAAGAGGGAGGGGTGGCAGAGGAAACGCGCTAGACCACCTACGCCCAGAGGTCTGGTAGGATTCAGCAAGAACACGTGGCGGCACGGTAGACTTAATATTCAAGTTGCGACGGAGAGCGAGCAAGCAGCTAGTGGGAAGAGCCAGGTGGACTTTTTCCAGTATTTCAATATGGGCTACCAGAACTACTCGCAGGGGCAGTGGGAAGACGCCAAGACCTGGCTGTCATGCCAGCAAGATGTTGTATCTGCTCATTTGCACGTTGACTGTGCTCCCCCTGCTCTCGCCCCCCCTTCCGCTGCTCTTCATCCCCCCTCCTTCCCTTCCTCATCCTCTTCTTCCTCTGTCTCCTCCTCTTTCTCCTCCTCTTCCTTGCCCTCGGGCGTGTCGGTGGTGGATCGGGCCCGTTGGAGGGCCAGGCATGTCTCAGATGACCCCTTCCTCCCAGATGACGGGTTCCAGGGTTTAAACTTCGAGCGGGTGGTCGCTCTCAACCCGTCCGTATACCGCGGTCCAGCCTCCTCCAAATTACAGTTCGCACTCTTTGCTGTCCCGTGAGTGCCTCCCCTTCATGCCTTCTTTCGGTCCCTTCGCCACTTCTCATGGCGCCAACGTCGCAGAGCGGATTCCGTTCGGAAACCGATCGGGTGGGCCCGGGGTGTCCTCGAGAAGTTCGTTCCGGATTTCGAGGTGAACTTCGAGCGGATTTTTTTTGTGGCCAGGAATGAAGACCACAAATAATCCACGCGAAACTCACTTCCTTTTTCGCTCGCCGCTTCGAGCAAACATCCACGCAGAAATCCGCTGCAGCACGTCTGCAAGGCCAGTGCAATGACGCTTCGTTTCCTTTCCAGCTGGGGCACTCTT